CCCGACCCGCAGCCCCTGCTAGCCCAGCCCTGCCGGTGCTCCTCACTCCCGACCCGCAGCCCCCTGCTAGCCCGGCCCTGCTGCTGCCCCTCACTCCCGACCCGCAGCCCCTGCTAGCCCAGCCCTGCCGGTGCCCCTCACTCCCGACCCGCAGCCCCTGCTAGCCCAGCCCTGCCGGTGCCCCTCACTCCCGGGTCTGCTGGAAGCACTGGGGACAGTTTGTTATTGTAGGGTCTCTCAGAGGCTGCAGGCCTGTACAGGCCGCCTTGGTGGTGTCAGGGGGCTTTGGGAGCACTCGCTCGTTATTGTAGGGTTTCCCAAAAGGAAGGCGTAACCCGTGAAGAGGTTTGTTGTTGTAGGGTCTCCCTGATCTGCTTCCCTACCCCCACCTTGCACCCCCCTCCTCTGCTGCCGGGATCCCTCCCCGATGTCCCCCCACCCCGGATCCGGGAGGCACTACTGCGTCACATCCGCTGCCAGCCGTTCAAATGCAACTTCCCCCCCTCGGCTTCCTTCCTCTTCCACTGAGCACGGCTGCCCCCGGCCTGCTCCCCGTCGGCCTCAGCACTGCAGCCCCCTCCCCCCGCCCCAAACCCACTCCTCGGCAAACCAGGAAGTCCCGCCCTCCACCAGGCGCAGCGGACAGGAAATCCCGCCTCACCTTTCATCATCGCTGTCCTGGTGGCCCCCCATAGCGAACATGGAGCGGGCCAGGCCTCCAAAGGGGTCTGACCCCCTCCGGACAGGGCTCCCTTCCCGGAAGAACGGGGGGGCTGGGGATGAGGGGCGGGAGCCTCGGGGTGGCACCTGGGGAGGAGAGCCAGAGTTAGAGATGTGGCCTGTCCCCTCCGGGGTGGGGCACTGTCTGGCTATGGGGTGAGATGGGGACACGGAGGGGGAGAGTTAGCAGCTGGGGAGGTGGGGGTCAGGGCTCAGAAATTCCCACAATGCACCTCACCACATTATGGCACAGGAGAGGGTGGTCCTCACCCACCCACCCCCAATAAACCTCAGCCCTGCCAGCATCCAGTGGCAGGGAGTTCCGCAGGCCAACGCTACCCCGAGCAGGTCTTTGGAAGAGGGGTGAGATGGCTCCCAAGGGGCTGCCCCACCACAGTCACCCCCTCCCTCCCCAGCCACTCGCCATCCCCCCTGTGGTCACCTCCAACCCCGGCTAGTGGGGTTACCCCGTGGCACTCCCGTCCCCGACGGAACCCAGGTGTCCGGGCCCACTTACCTTGTGCCGCTCCTCCATCTCCCTCCGGATGCGCTGGGCGAGGCTGTGGGGTAGCAGCAGCTCTTCGACCCCCAGGCTCGGCTCCGCGGCGGCCCCATGGCTGTGAGCTCTGCCCCCAGGCGTCCTCTCCCCGCCCCCCAGCGAGTGGGGCAAGTGCTCGCCGGGATGGGCCGTGCCCTGGGAGTGGCCGTGCCCACGCAGCGGTGGCGGGGGGCTGAAGTAGCCGTGGGGCTTGGGCAGCAGCCCAGCCAGCTCCAGGCGGGAGTCGAGGGACTGTGGGTGCCGGGGGGCGCCCAGGAGCCGCCCCACAGCCTGGTGCTCAGGGTCATGGTCGTAGAACTCCAGGCAGGTCCAGCGGCCCCGTTTGAAGGGCTCGCCCGGGCCCTGGTCCAGCTTCACCAGGCGGAAGCGGGAGGCAGCACCGGGCGGCCCGTTGCGCGGCGCGGCCGTGTCCTCGGGCGGCTCCGGGGCGGGCGGCGCCGCCGGCGGCTCGAACTCGCTGGTGATGCTGGTGATCTGGAAGCTGCTTTTCTTCCGGGCGCCACTCATGGTCCCTGCGCCGGCTCACCGGGGCCGGGGCCACACCGGGCCCATGCCGGGGTCTCCGGCCAGACACGGAGGCGGGGGCGGCGACATCCCCGCGGGTGGCGCAGCAAATGGAGGGCTACGGTGCCCCCCTGATTGTAGCTCACCTGCAGATCAAAGGTCACAGGGCAGGTCAAAGGTCACGGGGCAGTACTGGGGGGCTCCGGGCATCCCGGCCGCCCACCACGGAGGGGGCAGGACTGGAAAGTTCCCTGAAGTTGGGGGCAGGGTGGGGAAGTGCCCCAAGGGGCAGGATCCAGGGGAAGGGGGGGTACGTCGTC